TGTAAATCATTACTAGGTTTCACTATTTTCCTCCCTATTAATTAACCTAACAAATACCATTTGTTATTAAAATGCATCTTTGATTGAAAGCATATATTATTTGGAGTATTTATTTTAGACAGTGAATATTTGTTTATCAAGTAACAATAAATATTTCACATCATAAAATAATTTTTTTTATAATTAAACTTCTTAAATTTGTTGGTTACAATTAAAATCAAATAAATACACCAAATTATGATTCTTTCAATATATATATATATATATATATATATATATATATATGTGTGTGTGTGTGTGTGTGTGTGTGTGTGTGTGTGTGTGTGTGTGTGTATGTGTGTGTTGTTAACTAATTAAAATTTTATGCATAAAATGTTTTTTGAATGTAAAAGTTCGAAATGAATATGTCAACCAATATTTAATAAACATAAAACCATATCTAACATATTCCTTCTACATCTCGGTTTCTACCAAGTAAATAATAGCGATCATAAAAAATAAAATTTAAGTAATAATAGCGATCATATTATCAATAATAAAAATTAAATAATACTAAAAACGAGTCATATATTTTGGTGTTCTCTCTCGCCTTTCTCTTTTATTTTTTTATCAGACAACATAGTACTTATTTTAGTAAATAATCACAAATCAAATATACTATTCAATTTCATGTACTCATTTTAAAATATATAAAACTTTGATCAATTTTTTAGATCACCAATTTTATCTTAGTTTTACACGGGTCAATCAGTGCCAAGTGACATGTTACTAACGGATTTTGGATCCTTACCAAGTTGTATCGAAATTTTAAATAGCGGTGAATTAGTTAAATCCGAACCGAAATATATATAAGTTTAGTTGCTCAATCTCAAACCCGTGTCGGGTATGAAAACACTGCTCAACACAATTATAAATGTATTAAGTTGCAAAATTTCAACACCTGTAATTTTATAATTATCAAATCTTTGTTTCGTATAAATCAATTTACAAAGAAAATATATCCCGCTCTAGAAAAGATATGTGGTAGTCGCATGTCCAAGATATATTAAAGAGATATTGTCGGTATATTTGTGTTGGGCTTGGGTCGTTAATATGATGTATTGATTTATTTATGGGCTTGCAATAATCATTCGCAGTTGTATTTTGAATTTTTATGTTATTTTCTTATATAATTGTTTTGTTAATCATATTTTTTAAACAACTACCGTCTATATAATACAATGTAAATTTTTACTACCATAATTTTTAAAATAAACAGTCGGTTGTATGTCTATTTATTTTATATGACAATAATATCAACCAATTTCTTATAATAGTACCCTAAAATTATTTATTAATTTTATAAAAAATAAGTTTGAACTCAAAATATAAACTATTACAAATCAATACTTTAGATTATCGAATAGAACTCATAATTTCATCGGGTCCCTAAAATTTGTTATCTAACTAAAACGAATAAGAAAAATCAATCTTATACCACACATTAAATTGTATGTAATCGTATTTAATCTATATATGTTGGACCAAGCCAAAATTATTAACGAAAATCTATCTGAACCCGGATACTCATGTCTATACATACTTGTGAATAATCAAACAATGGCATAAATTTAAAGCAAAAACGGTTGTCCCGCCCTCTTTAAGGGCGGGTCAAAATCTAGTATCTCATTATACTTGCATAATAATAGTTTGGTGCGGGATTATGTTTAAATGTTTTATATTTTAGTGTAGTCAAATTTTCTAATCTTGGATTGTGTTTTTAATGAGTTATGAGTAGAATTATGCAAGATAATTTTTTTTTTATATAAATGAAATATTATTTTAAAAATAAGGTAAGCTATTCTTTCATGAAAATATAACGGGTCAAAAAATATAATTGTCACAATCTATTTTATATTAGAAAAGTTTAAGAAATTACCAATACGAAATCTCGTCTGAAGTTAACCACTTGATATCTTCTCGTAAATCACCCATGAGAGGATCATCTCTAATGCTACAAAAACCTGCAAAGCCTAGTTACACATGAAGTTAGTTTAACTAAAAACTAATAAAAAAATACTCATATAATACTAAAACACAATCATGTCCCATAACATAAACTTCACTCTTTTTTTTTTCCAAAACAATGCACCACTTCGATTTCACCCGTATCAAGGACGTCGTCATTTACATTTGTAAACAAAGAGAGTTAGATAAGGTGAGTGCTTATGTAATATATTCTTTCATGAAAAATTAATATATGTAATTTTTCACGACCTTTGATCTCTCTTGAACCTACAGCTCTTGTGAATCACACTAAGAAGACCTTTAAATAAATTTATTTGATATTTGATAAAAACTGTAATGTCTAGATGAGATAGCTTGGTTATTGTTTGATGAACTATTTTTTTACAAACTAATGTATTTAATAATGTCTTTGTATATGTAATTGTTTTATTCTTCAAACTTCTAACAATGGCTAATATAGTATTTTTAATAAAATTTTGTTTTTGATGTTGCAGCGGGTAATGTTTTCCTCCAATTTACTGAACAAAAAACCTATAAAATATCTTACCTGATAATTCAAATTTATATAACTTTATATTTATTAGTTTTGTTTAAAATTTTAAAAAAGAAATTGAAAAAAAAAAATTTATTTTTATTTTTGTCAACAATCGTATATTAAAGTAGTGTATAATAAATTTTGTAATATAATCATTCATAACTACAATAATGCTACTACACTTATTCTATAATATTTGATAGTTTTCAACAAAATTATATACTGAACTTTTGGTAAGATTACACTTATTACAGATGTTTGCATGACATTTTGATAATTAATAAAATTTTGACTCTTGAATAACTATAGTAAACATGTGATAACATTTAGTGGGGGTTATTGATTCCACTATTTTCATGGATTTAGAAAAACATTTGGATTTAGAAATCTTTGATAAATCATATGATTTAAAATCGAGCAAATAGATTTAAGAATCAAGGATAGTGATTTCAAAATGAAAATAACTTTTTACAGAAATCAAAGATAATCAAATCTTTGATAAATCATATGATTTTAAAATCAAGCAAAGACATATAAGAATCAAAGATATTGATTTCAAAATGATTTTAATTTTTTTTTTCATTTTTTTACTTTCGGTTTCAGAATTGTTGTGTAATTCAGTTTTTCTTCGTTTTGGTTTGACTCTTGTTGGAGCTTCTTTTTCTTTTAAACTCTTATTTTACGCAATTATTTTGGAAACCAAGTATATTGATTTCAAAATGAAAATAGATTTAAGAATCAAGGATATTTATTTAGATATTTCCTATTTAGATATATGAAAGTTGTCATCCATCTTGAAGAATAGGTTCAAAATGAGAATTTTTTTAATTTAATGGACTAAAAATATTTATTAAAAATCATATCGTTTGTAAAAATCAATAAAAATTCAAATAAAATAAAAGATTTTTATAATTGGACCTAAAACACTTTCAACAAATGATAGAATGACAAATATCATCTTTTGCTTCTATGGAGAGAAAAAATCTACTTTATTATATAAGAGATGTATAAATATTTATTTTAGAAAAACTTTTGAAATATTTTATAACTAAGAAGTCATATATCACCATTACAATATAAATTCATATATAAATTTAATAAAAAATAAAGTAAATATAAGTACATTGTAAACTTACAAATCACATTAACTTAAATATATCATTTGTTCATAAATAAAAATATATATTAAAATTATTTGTAAGTTTTCGTTAAAATAGGAAACTAAAAAAAAATAGAAATTTGTTTTAATTAATGTTTAAATTTTTATTAGAATTTATTGGTTCATTAAGTAAACTAAAAATTGTTGAATATAATAAATATAAAAACATCATTAAAAAGGTGACACATGTTATTTTTTCCCCAAGTAGTGAAAAAAGCCAACTTTATTACTCCCTCTGTTTCAATATAAGTGTCACTCTACAGCTATGCACACGGATTAAGAAAACAATTAATTTTACATATTTCCTATATAAAAACACAATTACCCATACATTTAACCATATTTTAACCAATAGAAAAATAAATTACATAATAAAATTAATAAATTTTACATTGAAAACCGAAAACGACACTTATTTTGTAACACAAAAAATTCTCTACAATGACACTTAATATAAAACGGAGGGAGTATATAAGATGGTACTCCCTCCGTTTCATATTAAGTGTCGTTGTAGAGAATTTTTTGCCTTACAAAATAAATGTCGTTTTCGGTTTTCAATGCAAAATTTATTAATTTTATTATGTAATTTGTTTTTCTATTGGTTAAAATATGGTTAGGTGTATGGGTAACTGTGTTTTTATATAGGAAATATGTAAAATTAATTGTTTTATTAATCCGTGTACACAGCTGTAGAGTGACACTTATAATGAAACAGAGGGAGTACAATAGTAGTTTGGTAAATATTATCTAGTGACGTGGTCTGTTAATTTCCATTAGCAAAAGAGTATTGACTTTTATGAATGGTTAGTTGTCTATCGAGTCAACAGTAAGTGAAAATCCGGAGTTGGATCATTTTTTTTTTTTTTTAACACTGGATAATCATGCATTACAAACTATGAGAAATATTACATAGACGATATTACAGCCGACAATTCTACCTGCCTTATGCGGATTCACGTCTGACTGCATCATCCTGAGCCGCCCTGTGAGATCCATTCCTGACGGTACGCCTTGCGCCATGCTGAAGATCTCCTGTAAGTGTTCTCCAATCTGCATAATTCGCCATTCACCTTCTTCGGGAATTGAAACCCTCCTGGTGTAAGAACTGCGTAGCCTGAGATTCGAACCCCAGACCTGGTGTAGAAGCCTTTAAACCTTAACCACTAGACTACGGTGCTTCCACAAATGATTAGAGACATATTTAATGCATTGTCTTTTATTTCTTCACTCTCCACTACCTAAAAAGGACAAGCAGCTTTAAGCTGAAGAAAAAAAAAACAGAGTAAACCAAAAGAAAACATGGGAGAAGAGAAGGAGAAGCAGAAGCTGGCGCTTGTGTTAGCTGCGAAGTCAAGATCATTTTTATACACATCATCACCTGCTACTCCATGTGTGTTTGCCTCTCCGATTCACACTCTTGCCTCTGTTCCGTTTTGCTGGGAACTGCAACCTGGAAAGCCCAAGAACCCTCTTCTTCCTTTTTCTTACCCAAAATGTCTTGAATTGCCACCGCGCTTGCTCCTTCCCGGAGAGTTTACCCAAATGCCCTTGCCTGAGAGGAAGTATGGGCTCTTTGAGTTCTTGAAGAGGAAAGGGAGAGCAGAGGTCGTTTTCAGGGGTAGTTATGTCTTTATGCCGGAAAAGGAGAGAGCAGGTGAGATCAACAATAACATGAAGATCATGAAGTTTAACAGATCAGGGAGTTTCCATGGTGGTGGTGGGTCTGTAAAAGGATCTCACTTTTGGGTAAAGCAGTCGTTTTTATCTGTTCTCTTTGACTCTTTCTTGTGACTTTGCCTTAACAAGTCTCTTCTCTTACATATTGGGTTTGACTGGGGAAATGCAGGCAAGTTTATGTAAGGGGTTGAAGCAAGCAATGCCATGGAAGAACAAGAAGCTGAGAAGCAAAAGTCTTTGAGCATGTTTTCAAATGCATTACAAGACAATGATCATCTTTTGATCTACCTATTGAGGATCAACTTGATGTAAAAGAGCTACTGCTAAGAGTGTATGTAAGACTAGCAATTTCATCATAATAATGTAAAATTATTATCTCTGTGATATGTATGTTATACTATATGTGGCAACAAAAGTTTCAAGCTTTTGATTTGTCATGAAGAAATGAATACATCTGATAAAAAAAGGATGAACAGAGTGTGTAAATACACACACATGCCTTTATATAAGTTTCCAGAACAAAAACAAGAGTCTGGCTTATTTTCAATTGTGAATAGAAAGAGTTGAAAGACGGAAAAAAAAAAAAGAATCTTAATGTAAGGAGAGAGGGGAAATCATCGGTTAGATTGGCTCTGTTTCTTCCCTGTGACATCAGCAATAATCTGCAAAAATCAAAATGGATCTAACTAAATACCTGAAGGGTTGAGTTTTTGCCTATGCATAATCAAGTATTGGGTTACTAAACAGTCGGGGAACTAATAAGTCGATCATATGCCCAATCCTTGCTTCTGAAAGCAATAAAACGTGATAGTCCATGAAAGAAAGCATATAAATTTACAGAGAGGCATGTTAGTATAGATAAGGATTATCTTCCTATTACTCATTATCTTAGGATTAGTCTTTATCTTGTAAAGATCTATTCCTATAAGGATCTGTGTTTATCTCTTGAGCAAGTGCTCATGTATAAATACCTTGTACATTAACTTCAATAAGATCATCGATTCATAACATCTCTACATGGTATCAGAGCAAATCTGATCCTCATTAAACCTAATTTCTTTTCTTCTTTCTCACGTCTAAAAAACTCTTAGCCTCTTTCTTTCTCAATTGTCATCATGGCTTCTGAATCTTCCTCCTCTGCTACTTCGGAGACTGCAACAATATTCAATGTTGCAGATCCTAAACTTACTCTCATCTCTCTCAACATGAACAACGTCACCAAGCTTACGTCAAATAATTTCATTACATGGCGTTTACAAGTTCGTGCTTTACTTGAAGCACACGAACTTCAGTGCTTCATGTCTGAAGAAGATCAAACTCCCCCTGCAACTATCTCAACAACTGATGATCCAGAAGCTCCTAACCCTAATTTTGCGGCTTGGAAACGACAAGACAAACTTCTCTTCAGCTCTCTTCTTGGATCTCTAACAGTAGCTGTTCAACCTATTGTTGCAAGATCATCATCTTCCCGTGAAGTCTGGGAAATTCTTCATCGTACCTATGGAAAACCAACAAGAGGTCACATCAAACAAATCAAACAACAACTCAAGAACATCTCCAAGGGTACTAAAGCCATCAATGAGTACATGCGTTTGATCATTGAAAAATCTGATCAATTAGCTCTTCTTGGTGCTCCTTATGATCATGAAGATCTGCTTGACATAATAACTAATGGTCTTGGTGAGGATTACAGAGCTATCACTGAGATGGTCAATGGAAGAGACACACCTATTTCGATTGACGAGTTACATGAAAAACTTATTAATCGTGAAAATACTCTAAAGCTCTCAGCTCCAAAAGACTCCATTGTTCCTGCAACAACCAATGTTACTCAGACTCGCCCACAGAACACCTACTCTGCTCCACGAGGAAGTTACTCAAACAACTACTCAAACAACTACTCAAACAACTACTCTGCTTCACGAGGCGGTTACTCAAATAGAGGAGGGTTTCGTCCACAACGACCTTACTTGGGAAAGTGTCAAATTTGTGGTGTTCAAGGACATGGTGCCAAGAGATGTCCGCATTATCAACCTCAGTTCTCTTCACAACATTATGGACCAACTTCTTACTCTCAACCACGACCTAACAATCAATGGCCAGCAGCTCCACATCTACCACTACCCACTCCTCAATGGCCACAGCAGGCAAATCATACCACTACATCATCTCCTCATCCGGACTTCTCTCAATGGATACTTGACAGTGGGGCTTCTCATCACATTGCAAGCGACATTAACAACCTCTCATTGCACACACCATACAATGGTAGTGAGAATGTCATGGTTGGGAATGGTTCTCATCTACCAATAAGTCACACGGGTTCCATATCCTTTCCTACCAACTCTAGACACCTTCATCACAATAATGTTTTATGTGTTCCTGAGATAAAGAAAAATCTAATCTCTGCCAATAAACTAAGCAAAACTAACAATGTGATGATTCAACTTTGTCCTTATGATTTTCAGGTGAGGGATCTATTCACGGGGACAACTCTTCTCAAAGGCAAGGCCAATGAAGGAGTGTATGAGTGGCCGATTTCTTACTTCCCAAACACTGCTCCAAACAACATCTCTGTTTTCTCATGCAATAAAACTTCTTCAAAGGATTGGCACTCTAGATTAGGCCATCCGAATTCTTCTACATTACGTTTTATGATTTCTCGGTTTTCTCTTCCTACTTCTTCGTCTTTGTCATCTTTTTTGTTTTGCAACTCATGTTCATCTAATAAAAGTCATAAGTTACCTTTTTCTACATCAACTTTAAAGTCTTCTTCTCCATTAGATATTCTTTTTTCTGATGTTTGGACATCTCCAGTCATGTCAGTAGATGGTTACAAATATTATGTCATATTTGTTGATCATTTTACTAAGTATACATGGTTATATTCTCTTAAAACCAAATCACAAGTTTCTCAGATTTTTCCTGTTTTCAAAGCTTTAGTGGAAAACCGATTCAAATCAAAGATCACAACTCTCTACTCTGACAATGGTGGTGAGTTCTTGGCTCTCAAGTCGTTTCTCTCAACACATGGAATCTCACATCACACTTCACCACCGCATACACCTGAACACAATGGCATGGCCGAAAGGAAGCATCGTCATATAGTGGAGACAGGTTTATCTCTTCTTACACACGCAAACATACCAACGACATATTGGACGTACTCGTTTGCTGCAGCAGTTTATCTCATCAATAGGCTCACTACACCAAATCTCTCACACCAGTCACCCTTTCAAGCTCTCTTTCACACAATACCAAACTACAACAAACTCAGAAGCTTCGGTTGTCTCTGCTATCCTTGGATACGACCGTACGGCCACACCAAGTTCAGTCCAAGATCAACTCCGTGTGTTTTTGTTGGCTACTCCTTGACTCAGAGTGCGTATCTGTGTCTTGAGGTCTCATCTTCGAGAATATATGTTTCCAGACATGTGGACTTTATTGAATCGGTTTTCCCATTCTCTTCTCTTAACAAAAAGCCTTCTGAAAATCTTTCTGATCAAAATGCCATTTCTTTTAACTCTTCTTATGCCTCTATTGCTCCTGTTTTTAATCGGTCACTCTACTTTCATATGTCTCCGTGTACTGATACTTCACCTGCAGTTACAGTGTCTCCCATGACACCACCAGTTTCATCAATATCTCCTCAACAACAACAATCCGCTCAATCTGCAACATCAGCACCTTCAGCAAATGCAGAAGCAGAGAACTCCTCACCAACCTCCACGTCTACTCTACCTTTGTCTTCAGGTGCACAACCATCTACTGTACCGAACAGTCACTCTATGATCACTAGAGCCAAGAACAACATACGCAAGCCTAATCCTCGATACGGATTATCTGCAATTCTTCAAGAAGTTGAACCTGCTAATCATGTTCAGGCACTCAAAGATGAAAAGTGGAGACGTTCCATAAGTGATGAGATTTATGCATTCATACGTAATGATACATTTGACCTTGTTGAAAGATCTCAAGCAAGGAATATAGTTGGCAATATGTGGCTGTTTCGTATCAAAAGAAATCCAGATGGCTCTGTTAGAGCCTACAAATCCAGACTTGTTGCCAAAGGAATCATCAGAGACCAGGCATTGACTTCTATGAGACATTTAGTCCAGTGGTGAAACATGCTACTATACGTCTTGTCTTAGCAACAACAGTGTCTAATGGTTGGCCTCTTCTTCAGTTTGACGTGAATAATGCATTTTTACAAGGTCCTCTGGATGAAGAAGTCTTCATGCAACAACCTCCTGGAATGATTGACAAGGACAAGCCACATCATGTATGGCGACTCAAAAAGGCTGTGTACGGTTTAAAACAGGCTCCTCGAGCTTGGTATCATGCTTTAAAGGATTTCTTAATCACCGATGGGTTTAAAAATTCTCTTGCGGACGCGTCTTTGTTCATTCGTCACACTGGCTCCTCATCAATCTACATACTAATCTATGTTGATGACATTGTTATAACAGGTTCTAAGTTGCAGGAACTGCAGGAAGTTACTACTAAACTTGCTGCAAAATTCTCACTTAAAGAACTTGGTAATCTGTCTTACTTTCTTGGTATGGAAGCCACAAAAACAGAGAAGGGTCTTCATCTCACTCAGACAAAATACATCACTGATCTTCTACGACGAGCTAAAATGGAGGATGCTAAACCAGTGGCCACACCAATGTCATCCTCGCAAGTACTTACTCTCAACTCTGGTGATCCTTTAGCTGATGCAACAGAGTATCGAGTTATTGTTGGGAGTCTTCAGTATTTAGGTCTTACAAGGCCTGACATTGCCTTTCCGGTCAATCGTCTGTCTCAGTTTATGCACAAACCAACTTCAGTCCATTGGGAGGCAGCAAAGAGAGTACTTCGGTATCTCATTGGAACTGCAGACAAGGGTATTTTCTTCTCTGCTGCAACACCATTCAATCTTCATGCGTACTCTGATGCGGACTGGGCTGGAGATCATGATGACTACAACTCTACTGGTGCATACATTGTTTATCTTGGGAGACAGCCTATATCATGGTCAGCTAAGAAACAGGGTGGTGTTGCTAGATCGTCTACTGAGGCTGAATACCGTGCCTTAACAGAAGCTGCAGCTGAACTAATGTGGGTACAGATGGTTATGTCTGAACTCGGTCTCAAGTCATCTAATACTCCTGTTCTTTACTGTGACAACATTGGTGCTACGTATCTATCGGCCAATCCTGTGTTTCACTCGAAAATGAAGCATCTTGCCCTGGACTA